ATCGTACATGTCACGCCATTTTTTCCATTTTCCAACCTATGAATTATTAATAAAAAAAAAAAAAACATTTTTATTTACTTATTTATTTTATTTATTAAAAAGATTTTTTTAAATAGATGACGTCATTTATTAATAAACAATTTAAAAAATTTTTAAATACGTGTTGTTAACACGTGTAAAAAAAAAAAAAAGGAGAAGGAAAAGAGAAAGAAAATTTATGTTTTTCCGTTTTTCCGTTTTTTTAAATGTGTGCGTGTGCGTGTGCGTGTACATTTTCAAATATCCTTACGTATAAGTAAATCCATAAATAAATTTATACGCAAACAAATAAGAAGAAGGAGAAGGAATAAAAATAAAAAAAAAAGAAAACCTTTTATAAATCACTAAAAGGGTTGTTGAATTTTCTTACACAAAGACTTTTTAACGTGACCGATTTTCAAATAACATTTATACGTCACGCAAAGTTGGGCCTTAAAAACCGGCACGTAAACTTCTTTATGAGAATAAAAATGTTTTTTTTTTTGTTTTATTCCTTTTTAAAAATTGAAAATAAATATATATAAAAAACAAAACGTTTCGAATGAAAATAATAATAATAATACGGGTCGGGTAAAAAAAAAATAATATTTGAACGAAAAAAAAAAAAAAAAAGGAAAAATTGATTTATTTATTTTATGTTTTATGTTTTTAAAACTGTTATAAATAATGTATTTATTAAATTTTATTTATTTATTTATAAATAAAAAATTATTATTATTTACGTGTGTGTGTGTGAGGAATGTCGAATGCGTTGTATTGATTAAATTTTATTAATATATATGTGAGATGAAAACAAAAGTTTTCAAACAAAATTTATTTGTTTTTAAACAATAGAATTAAGCAAACATGATCTTAATTAAATATTTTTTATTTGTTTTGTCTGCGGTTTTACGTTCGTTTGTTACAATTTAATGTTTTAACATTTTGTTTCTTCAAGTTCTTGTTGTTGTTTCTTTAAATGAAAAAAAAAAATTGTTTGTTTGTTTGTTTTAAATCGAACAATTTTTTTTTTTTTTGGTCTATATAATAAAATAAAAATATTTATTTTAAATAAATCCAATGGAATTGTTTTCAAATGGAATTTTTTAAAAGTTTTTACTATAAGATTCGTTTGTTGTTAAAATGAGATTTTACTACAATCGAAACTACAATTACGAATTACTACAAACAGAAATTTATCCTTTGGTTAAAAAAAATTGGATAAAGTTTTACGGATTTTGACTTTAAATTCGCGACATAAAAATAAAAACACGATTATAGAATCATAGAGTAAACAAATTTTCCTTTTTTTTTTACATTTAAATAATAATGATTTTTTAAAACTACAATTCTACAAAAAAAACTACAATTTACTAATCGATATAAATGCAATCGTTTGTTTTTCTACGTCGCTGGAAAATATAAAAAAATTTTTTTTTTTTTTTGTAATATCACTTTATCATTATCAATTGAACCGAATCGAAATTTAATTTTTTTTCTAATAGAATTTTTTTCATTCGATGAAAAAAAAAAATTAAATTATATATTTATTAAATTTATCATTATTATTATTTTATTTTTACACTTCACTAAATAGTTTTTACTTTTTCTGTAAAGAGATGAAAAAATTGTGGATGGGAAATAAAAAAAATAACAAAACAGTAATTAAATTTTTTTTTATTTCATTGTATGTTATAAAAAAAAAACAAAAACAAAAGGAAAACACAAAACGTTTGTTGTTAACTCAAAGAATATTACGATGCGATACCTTAAAACACGCGTAAAAGAAAAAAAAATTAAAAATAATAATAATAAACGTGAAAAATATTTTGCGTATGCTTTTATTATTACATAAATGTAACAATAATTACCTATATTAAAAATTTACAGGCGCATTCTCGAAAACGTAAAATTTTTTTTTAACTTAAACAATCGGGATTAAGTAATTTTAAATAAAAATAAGAAAGTATTTAAAAATTCAGTACCGTGGTAAAGCATATTTATACGAAACGATTTAAAATTGTTTTCTTTTTATTATTATTATTATTAGTATTTTTTTATAAACTCGTTCCCTCAAAAAAAAAAATTAAATTAAATTAAAGGTTTTGTTTTGTTTTGCTTTATTTGTTGTTTTTAAAATTAATTTCGAAAAAGAAAAATATCGAAGATATTTTTACGTCTACTTTTTTTTTTTTTAATATTAAGAACTAACGGAAATACAGTCAATCGATCAAAAAAAGGGGGTAAAGAGGAAAGAGAAAAAAAGAAAGGGGGAAGGGAGAAAAAAAAGAAAAATATCCCTTGCATTTTTTTTTTTTTTTAATAACTTTTCACCTCTATTTCATTCATTCATTCTTTCTCTTATATTTTTTATTCTTCATTTTCGATCTCTCTCTATTTCTCTCTCTTTTTTTTCTTCATTTACAATAAAAAGGAAAATTAATTAAATTTAAAAAAAAAAAGGGGTGAAAATTCAAAAGATTTTTCCTTTTTTTTTTTTTTGTAAGCAGGAAAGGAATAAGGTAAAATAAATGTTTAATTTTCATAGAAGGAGAAGGATCATGTTTTTATTTTTTATTTTTTTATATTTTTCTTTTTCCTTCTTTTTTTTCCTTTTTTTTTCTTTTTTTTCTTTTTTCTTTTTTTTTTTTACAGTAGCGAATTTGCATTTACGTAATAAGATCTAAAAGCTTAAATTGCCTCAGGGGATGAATTTATAATTTTTAAACTCGGTCCTGCAGGCGTTTGTTTTAAGTTTTTCTACTAAAAATCTAAAAGTTGATTAGTCCCAGTTTCTTTGTTTCAATTTTTAAACTTTAATTAAGCTTTCCCGCTTTCTCAATTACCACTTTTCAGCTCAATTTTATTTTCTTTTAAATGTTGAAAATTTTTTTTTTCTTTTTTTTCCCCCCTCGTTCCCAACCCCTTACCCCAACCCCCCTCAACAACTCACCCAACTCTATTTTTTACTTTTCCAACTTTTCTTTACCTTCCCTCCCTATCCCCTTATTTTTTTTTTTTTTTACTACCCTTTTTACGATTCAAAAAAAATATTATTAACATCATAATAATCATCATTATTATGTTCACTCCTACTTACCAAAGTGTAATAAGAAAAATCGTTATATTTTTTTTTTTTTTTTTACATTGTTTTTAAATAATTCGTCGAATGCAAACACACGCATCAGCAAATTTTATTTCAATAAATTTCTTTTTTTTCGCATTAATTTTTGTTTAATTATTATTATCATCATCATTCTTAAACAATTTAAAATAATCAAAAATCGAAATTTAACGAATGATAATTAAAACGAGTCGACATTTTTTTTTTTTTCTTAACGTGAAAACTCCCGATTTCGTTCGAAACGTCATTTTTCTTTTTTTCTTTCTTTTTTTAAAATAATTAATTATTTTATTTACATTTTTTTTTGAACCTTTTATTGAACCTTAAGGTATATCGTAAATTAATAATCGAAAATTTATATTTAAAAAAAAAATTATAAAAAAAAAAATAAAAGGATATGCAATCATTTACCCCTTTTTGAGC